CTCTCCTCTCCTCACCCCTCCTGACCCCAGCTCTCCTCTCCTCACCCCTCCTCTGACCCCAGCTCTCCTCTCCTCACCCCTCCTGACCCCAGCTCTCCTCTCCTCACCCCTCCTCTGACCCCAGCTCTCCTCCTCCTCACCCCTCCCTGACCCCAGCTCTCCTCCTCACCCCTCCCTCCTACTCCTGCTCTCCTCCTCCCCATCCCTCCCTTTGACTCCTTTTCCACTCCAGCTCCACAGTGGCAGCCTACAGCTCCCTCCGGGCAGGTGAGCCTGGTGCAGGCACATGCCTCGGCAGTGGTGGCACACAGCTGCCCACTGGACAATGTCCCAGTGGGATAGGATGGGATGCTCGCACCAACCCCGTCAACAGAAACACGGAGCTCCAACTGTCCCTGAATCAGGGCAGGGGCTGTGCTGTGTAACCTGCTTCTGCATGAGGCCAGGGAAGAGGTGCAGGGCCGGCCCCCAGGGGCCTGCACAGAACCAGTGGAGGGAAACCTCTCTAGAGGTGAGACCGACAGAAACGAAGGCACGCTGGTGGTACACAGGAAGGGCAGGTAGATGCCGAACTAAAACACTGCACCACTACCCCTCCCCATCACCAGCCAGAGAGAGGGAAGGGAACACCTGGGAGAGAGCTGCAGCAGGCAGAGCCAGGAGGCCGGCCTGCAGAGCTGGGGGTGGCCCGGGTGGGCGTGCTGGGCCTGCGGCGGCCTGGGGCTCAGATCCCCACAGTGCCACAGGCAACTCAGACTCTTAAGGCCGTGAAAGGGGACATTTGCTCATGAAGCAGGTGAGATCACCGTGCCGACGGATGGTCTGTGCATGTTTACAGAGCGATGTTGTGCTTTCATGGTGTTGGGGATCAAACCCACAGCGCCACACACGCCTGGATAAACGTGCAGCACTGAACTGCACCCCAGCCCAGTGGGGTTCTTCATGAGCAGGATCCCAGAGGCAGAAGGCCCTGTGCCCATGCCAGTCTAGAACTCACCTCTCACCAACGGCTGTCCCTGCCATCTGGGCTGGCCAGCCAGCCCCCCTCATCTTGTTATGGACGTCATGTCCTCTGGCTCTCACTGCCAGCTGTCAAGGAGGCGTACAGCTGCTTCCCTGCCTCTAAGAGACGAAGGAGGCGCTGTGGGCAGAGCCTGTGCTCACAGCAGGACCACAAGGAAGCTGCACACAGCCCTCCTCTGGGTGGAGAGGAGCTCATGACCTGAAGCTAGGATAACAGAACGCAAGGGCAGATCGGAAACAGACCCAAGGTGCTGCAGGGGCCGGGACCCCTGACAGAATGCAGATCGGACTGTGACAGACTCAAGGCATCCGCAGGGGTGTGAAAGGCAGCCTCCGCCACCTCAACCCCACACCTGATGACATTCACCTACAGTGCGTCAAAGGTCCAAACACCAAACGCAAACCACGGAGAATTCAGAAGAAAATATCGGACAAAAGTGCCCTGTCAGTCCCTGCCCAGAAAATGATCATGACTGTCCACTCACAATGAACACGTGCCACGCATGATACAGTGACCACGGTGGGAAAGGGCAGGCCCACGGTGCCCCGCACAGCCACCAGGAAGCACGTCCCAGGCCCGCCCTGCCGCGTCTCCCCCAGACAGAAACACAGGGATGGGGACAATCCAGGTGGCTGGGCCAGTGCACAGGGACCAGGGCAGGCATGGAGCGGTCAGCACATCAGTGCACGGGGCAGGTCTGGGGCAGTCAGCACACCAGTGCACAGGGCAGGTCTGGGGTGGTCAGCACACCAGTGTACGGGACAGGCATGGGGTGGTCAGCACACCAGTGCACAGGGCAGGTCTGGGGCGGTCAGCACACCAGTGCACGGGGCAGGTCTGGGGCGGTCAGCACACCAGTGCACGGGGCGGGTCTGGGGCAGTCAGCACACCAGTGCACGGGGCAGGTCTGGGGCAGTCAGCACACCAGTGCACGGGGCGGGTCTGGGGCGGTCAGCACACCAGTGCAGGGGCAGGTCTGGGGTGGTCAGCACACCAGTGCACGGGGCGGGTCTGGGGCGGTCAGCACACCAGTGCACGGGGCGGGTCTGGGGCGGTCAGCACACCGGTGCACGGGGCAGGTCTGGGGCGGTCAGCACACCAGTGCAGGGGCGGGTCTGGGGCGGTCAGCACACCGGTGCACGGGGCAGGTCTGGGGCGGTCAGCACACCGGTGCACGGGGCGGGTCTGGGGCGGTCAGCACACCAGTGCACGGAGCGGGTCTGGGGCGGTCAGCACACCAGTGCACTGGGCGGGACTGGGGCGGTCAGCACACCAGTGCACGGGGCGGGTCTGGGGCGGTCAGCACACCAGTGCACGGGGCGGGTCTGGGGCGGTCAGCACACCAGTGCAGGGGCGGGTCTGGGGCGGTCAGCACACCGGTGCACGGGGCAGGTCTGGGGCGGTCAGCACACCAGTGCACGGGGCAGGTCTGGGGCGGTCAGCACACCAGTGCACGGAGCGGGTCTGGGGCGGTCAGCACACCAGTGCACTGGGCGGGACTGGGGCGGTCAGCACACCAGTGCACGGGGCGGGTCTGGGGCGGTCAGCACACCAGTGCACGGGGCGGGTCTGGGGCGGTCAGCACACCAGTGCACGGGGCGGGTCTGGGGTGGTCAGCACACCAGTGCACGGGGCAGGCAGCCACAGGGCCCCCAAGAAATCTGCTGAGGAGCAGCGCTGTGCAAAGGGCCTCTCTGGCCACCCAAGGAAACAGGTGGACACACAGGCTCTGAGTGCTGAAGGAGAAGCTGGGCACCGGCAGCATGTCTCACCGATTTTATTTCGTTTTTCAATCTCAAGGGAAGGAGTGATGTGGTGGGCACAGAACCACCTGGCGACAGTGGAACTCCCGACACCCTTAGGACAGAACACCGAAGCTCACAATGGCGCCTGCGCAGGGGCGGTCCCAGGTGACAGGTGGGTCAGTCGGCAAAGCCTGCAGCCATAGAGGCGCTCCTGTCAGAGGCAGTGATGGTTCTCTCAGAGAGGAGCTGTTTGACAAAGGAATTAGCTCCAGAAGCTGTAAATATTTGAGCATCTGCCTCGTGGCTCAGTGAGGGAACAGGGAGCCTGCTAGAGCAGAATGTGGTACTTCAGGGCCCTGGGAACCCTGTTGATGACCAGCCTCCCGTCGTAACTCAGGGAGGCAAACAGCCACGGGTCGGCTGAGGACCAGTCCACGGCGTACACGCTGTCCTCATGCTCCTCATAGGTGGCGATGACGCTGTCCCGCAGGGGCTCCTTCGGCCTGCAACCCAACAGAGGCAGAGGTGTGAGCAAGGGCCTTCCGTCAGGTCCACTCCAAGGGCCTCTCGCACAGCTCCTGGCCTGTGAGCCACACCCAGGGCCTGCTGTGTCCCCGCCAGACACAAGGAGCCCTGCCGCCGCCTCTCATCCCAGCGTGTGAGCCCTGAGGAGCCCCCACCATCCTGGCTGGGCAAGGCCACCCCGAACTCCACAGGGCCAGGGTCAGGAGGACCATGGCGCAAGAAGAGAACTCCCCACACATCAGGGGATACGCACATGAAAGAATCAATCTCACCAGATGAGTAAGCAAGCCAAGAATTAGAAAAGAACAAAACATCATAGAAAACAACAAAAAGATAGGAATTACTACACACTTCCAATAACTGAATGTCAATGATCTCAAGCCTTCAATCAGAAGACAAACACTGGCAGACTGAAGCAAGACATAACCATTTGTTGCCTATGAGAAACACAAGCCACCCACCAAAACAAACACAGGCTTCGAGTAAGAAAATGGAAGGAGATTGTCCAAGCAAAGGAAACCCAAAAGCAAGCAGCAATAGCTACACTTCTATAATATCTGGTGAAGCATATTTTAAACCAAAATTAATCATAAGAAACAAAGAAAACCACTTCAAAATGTTAAAGCAAACAATCCATCAGAGCATACAGTAATTGCAAACAAAAATCCTACACCATGATCAGGTTGGTTTAAATCTAAGGATGCAAAGATGGTTCAGCATGTGCAAATCAATAAACATAATTGTAAAAGAAAAAAACAACAAAAGGCTCACATTTGGCATTCAGCACAAATGCAGAAATATACAGGAACCATATTTTATTTATTTGTTTGTTTTCATTTTTTGGTGCTGGTCCTAGGGCTTGAACAGAGCCTAAGCTCTGTCCCTGAGCTTTTCTTGAACAGAGCCTAAGCTCTGTCCCTGAGCTTTTCTTGAACAGAGCCTAAGCTCTGTCCCTGAGCTTTTCTTGAACAGAGCCTAAGCTCTGTCCCTGAGCTTTTCTTGAACAGAGCCTAAGCTCTGTCCCTGAGCTTTTCTTGAACAGAGCCTAAGCTCTGTCCCTGAGCTTTTCTTGAACAGAGCCTAAGCTCTGTCCCTGAGCTTTTCTTGAACAGAGCCTAAGCTCTGTCCCTGAGCTTTTCTTGAACAGAGCCTAAGCTCTGTCCCTGAGCTTTTCTTGAACAGAGCCTAAGCTCTGTCCCTGAGCTTTTCTTGAACAGAGCCTAAGCTCTGTCCCTGAGCTTTTCTTGAACAGAGCCTAAGCTCTGTCCCTGAGCTTTTCTGCTCAAGGTTAGTGCTCTGCCACTTAAGACACAGTTCCTCTTGTCTGGCTTTTTGGGGTGTTAAGTTGAAGGCAAGAGTCTCACAAACTTTCCTGCCCGGGCTGGCTTTGAACCACGATCCTCAGATCTCAGTCTCCTAAGTAGCTAGGATTACAGGCATAAGCCACCAGCATCTGGCTTGGAACCCGTATTTTAAAACCACACATTGTGGAGACACTTGAAGGCCTCCTAGGCCCGGTGGGCTGTTTCTGTCTTGTGTTGTCTGTTAGCTCCCAGGCTGGGTGTAAGCACACATCAGCGAGACGCTTTGCACAGATCCAGTCACTGTGAGCACGGAATGCCCTGCGCTCCTGAGAGTCCTTTGCCACCCGGGGCCCTTACTTCTCATCAGCCTGGTGCTCCTCTGGGTCACTGATGTCGTCGTCATCCACCAGGTGGCCAAAGGGTTCGGAGGAGATGGACACCATGTTGGACAGGATGACTCTGCTGTCACTACTGCCGGTGAGGACCAGCTGGTCATGAGAGTGGTTGTAGCGGACGCTCCACACCCTGCAGAAGGCATGCGGCTGCTGAGATACGGTCAGGGCAATGGACCCAGCCTGACGGACAGGGGTTGCACTGAGTTCTGCTGGCAATCAATACCTAACCCTTTCGCCGTCATCAGGGAGGCACACCCACCCTAGGTTGCGCTAACATATTCCTTTAGGTCCCAACAGAGACCAGAGAGAATAAATGTCAGCACACATGTGCAGGAGGCTTATCATTCGATATTCCAGTTGGGCTGAAAGTCTAAAACAAGCGCTGTCTCCCCAGAGCGGCATACAGATGAGTCATGACCTAAACATCAAGTGCTGCCGGCCTTCCCCCCTGGAGCACTGCCATGGCCCAACCCAGGTCAGGCCCACCGGGTCTCATCCGCTAGGCCTCTGGCCATGCGGAGGCTGAGGCGGGCTCCGGGGCCTGGCACACCTCCTATGCAGAAGGGGCCCTGGGTGGTGGGCGTGGCTAGACCTGCAGCAGCAAATCACAGCTGCTCACAGAACTTACCGTGTCCTCCCGGCACAGGCACAATACACTCCTGACCGGTAACACAGAGGAGGGAGCCTGTCTGGAACCCCTCTTCACTGCAAGAGGATTCCTGATGAGAAAAATCTTGGCCCTCCAGGCTTTTCCTCCCCATGCATGTAGGTCAAAACACCCACACACACAAACACCTAATACAAAAACGGATTCATACTCTACCTACTGTTCCACAACTAAATCTCTGACTCACTTAGCAAAAAAGTACCCAGCCTCTGGTAAACATTCCAAAAATATTCGAGGGAGAATGAATGGTGTGGGTCAGCCTTCCACATCTGCACCACAGGGAGTCCGCAGCCTCCTGACAGCGGCCTGCCCCCACACCACAGACGTCACCTGAGTCCTATACCAGCCCCCCCGACGGACATTTGGGTCACTTCCAGTCTCCGTGCATGGCAAACAATGCGGCACGAACATCTGTGCACATTTATTTTTACATACTTGAACCGGCACTGTTTCAAAAGAAAACAGAATCTAATGTTTTTCTTCTCTTCCTATGCTTATAAATCACAAACATTCAGATTTGGAATTAGTGTTTCTTTAGGAAAAATAAAACTGGGCTGATTGAATGATTCACAGCAGCACAAACTAAGCTGGTTTGTGCCTTTCCAAATGGTAAAGTAATTAGCAAAATAAATTACATAATCCCCTCTTCCCCAGAGCGGCGCGCACGCGAGCGGGGTACCAGTGCGAGTGCTCCTCCAGGGTCTTCACGGGCTCCGTGACATTCCGTGTGTCCCAGAACTTCACCTTGCAGTCATCCCCGCAGCTGGCTAAGTAGTACTGCTTATTGGGATTGAAGTCGAGGTCACGCACCAGCTGTCCGTGGGCATTCTCTATGCAGTATATCTGGCTGAGGAAGGAAAAAAGAACAGCACACACCAATATTAAGTGGATTACAGAGAGCCGGCGAGCGCTGCAGGCCTGTGGTCTCCCAGGGTGCTGAGCTCCCCGTGCCAGGGTACAGCTCATCTGCTCCCTGTCATTGTGGGGCTGGGCAATCCCGGCTGGGAACCCTGGGCCCTTCTATGCGCGTCCCCTGCACAAGGAGGCTGGGCACGGAACCCAACAGCCCCTGGGACGGGCCTGGAGCACCCACCACGCCCAGAGGCAGCTCTGCCAGCCATGGAGATGGCCCGGCTGGCCACTAGTGTGGAGAGAGTGAGAGCATGCCACAGGCGCGGCATCTGCCATGGAGAAGCTGGACAGACTGTAGAGAGACTGACATGCTGGGGAAGGATACAGCAAAGCAGATGCGCTGCTGGTACTGGGGACATGTAGAGGAGGAGAGTGGAAAAGCTGCGAGGAAAGAATGACTGTGAATAATGAGGGAGCCCAGGCCTGCCTTTGCTGGGTTTGTTCTTCAATTTATGTTTTTCCACTCTGGCACCAGGGCTTGCACCCAGAGCCTCACTCTCCACTCAGCTTTCTTGCTGATGGCCGCTATTTTTGCCAATCCTTCAGCACAGCTTTTTGCTGGCTGGAGATGGACTCTCATAGAACTGTGGGACAACAGGTCACGGCCTCCTGGGACCACTGGTGTGGCTGAGCCCCGGTGCCTGGCCACTGGGCTGGCCCTTCCCTCACACCAGGAAGTCACCACTAGGTGGCCTATTCCCAGCCTCTTGCCTGGTCAGGAGTCACAGGACAGGACGTGTGGTTGAAGCTGGTCACATGGTAGCTGACAGTGAATATGCTAACGTGTACACACAGGCACGTGGGCACACCTGTATATGAGCACCCTAACACAATTCCCCACCCACATACACAAGAGGACACACATACAGGCACACACATCCCTGTTTCTCACAGCATGTGAAGTCTGAGTATCGGCCTAGTAGGGTTCCTTCTAGCATGATGAACCACAGAGCACGTAAGGCTGACAGTGGCTGGCGGGACCTGGCTGTGCCATCCACACCATATCGTATTCATCCCAGGGGACCCCACCTAGGGGACCCCACCTTGTGGTCACTGGCCTCACACCTCCTCCTCCTCCTCCCTTCCTCCTCCCCTCCTCCTCCTCCTCCCTTCCTCCTCCTCCTCCCTTCCTCCTCCTTCTCCTCCTCCCTTCCTCCTCCTCCTCCTCCTCTTCCTCTTCTTCCTCCTCCCAGGGATCCCATCTCTGCCAGCACTGACCTCACACTGCCACAGCTTTCACACGGCTGGTGAACTGGGGACTCCATGTCTTGTGGCTCATTCCAGAAAACCACAGGTCCCTGCTCCCCAGAGTACACCGGTCAACTCCTCAACAGCCCTCTGTCCTGCCCCAGGTTGGAGTTCCAAGCCCAAGTCATATTACACCTTGAGCTGGTTTTAAACCATGCACCACCTTCAGTGTCCTGATTTTACTCCCTTAAAATAAGACATACCAAAAGTTAAGACCTCTCTCATGAAATAGGCTGAGGTGTATCATCACTGAAAGGTCACTGAGTGACTCAGTAGCAGGAGCTCTACGTTCCAGAAGAGACAGGGACGGCATCCTGGTGAAGCCAAAGCCACAGCCAGCTACCAAAGCATCAAGGGCACCGTGGAAGTGGCCCTCTTCCTGGGGGTCAGCGTCTGGTTGTAAGGACAGCCCTGGCCCAGCCAGGATGCTGCAGGATGCTGCCTGCTGGAGCTGGAGCTTGTTTTGGTCTGTGATCCAGTCTTTGGCTCCTGGTCTTTAGAGGGTAAGTTCTTCACATCCTTCAAGGAGCAATGAAAAAAGGGCCAGAGGACTCTTGGCAATGGCTGCAGTGGGATTCTCATCCTATGTGGCCCCACAGACTCCAGCTTGGTGAGAAACCTTACTGCAGACATGCAGCAAGGCGGGGAGGAACGGGTTATTTATTAGCCCCTGGATTTTCAGCAAGCTGTGGAACACTTTGGGTGTGTGCACCCCACCCTGGAAGCAGCACCGGCATTACAGGCCCTCTGTCTGCTCAGCTCAGTGATAAATGATGGCATGCGAAGGGGGTAAGCTGCATCTTAAAGCCGCCTGTGTGGGCTTTCTGTCACCATGGCAGCAGACATCCTACCATCACTCCTCTGCCTATCAAAATCACAACTGGAACAGAAAAACTGCTCTTGTTTGTTCCATTAGAACGGCTGGTTGTTGCATATAATTACTTAAATGACAAAATATGATTACTGGATAGGTATGTCTCTTGAAAGCACAGAAATGGTCAAAGACAACGCCGTGGGGGAGACTCAACTTCTGCCACCCTGCGGCGTTCAAACAAATGAGCCTTTGAGCCAGCACAAAGCCCCGGCCTTGCTTTCAGCCCTGCCACTGGCAGGGACAGAGGGGCACAGCCAGCCACTGAGGAGTGCACAGACCCACGGACTCTTCTGGAGGGAAGATGACCCCCGAGAGATGCGGGGACGCACCCGTGCCAGCCCGGGCCTCCCCGCGGGGCGGGGCACTGACCTCATGCTCCTCGTGTCCCAGCCTCGGAGGGTGGTGTCACTCGCGGTGGCCACCTGCGTGCAGTTGTGGTGCGGGCCCCACCTCCCGGAGGTGAACCGCAGCTGCCCCTTCCCTTCCAGAGCCGCAGAGCCAGCCAGCTGGGAGCACCGAGGAAGGAGAAGAAGAAGAGAAGAGAAATTTGAACCCTTTTCAGAAAACTCAGAAGGACATACATGATACTCCTAAGAAGATAGAGAAAATAATTATTAGATCCATTAGGAAGCTCTCTGCCTTTTGTTCTTCCCTTAAAAGGCAAGAATGGTTGAACCTTATTTGGGGGGAAAAAACTATGAAACGGAGCACAGTGAAAAATAGAAAGTATATTAATAGAGTCTTATTGCAGAGGATTTGTTCAGTGTGTCATTAGAGACAATCAGCTCAAACTTGAAGAAAACAATAGAAAATAACTCAAACATCTGGCTCCCCCCAGAGACAGAACAAGTGAGGGCCACAGGACGGATTCCTTCCTGACTGACAAAGGACTGAGTCAATGCACTTCCTGTCTCCCTCCTTATTGGGAAGATCTCCAATTCCTTGCATGAGAGTTCGTGAGAGCTCCACAGGCCCAGGCAGTACCAGGAGTCAAAGCCCGCCTCAGCCTGAGAGAAAGCAAGCCGGTGGCGTGCAAGGATGCGGAGAGCCCTCTCCGTAACCCCACCTTTCCATGCGGGACCTGTGAAAAAGGTCTGCCGCCAAGGACACCGGGTCCGCCCCATGTGTGGCTAGAACCCAGTCATGTGGAAGCGTCCGCAGTCAGGGTCTAAGCCCGCTGTGGTGGCATGTCTCCCTCACCTTGCACTCAGCCTGTCCCGGAACTCACACTTCCAGACGTTAGCTCTTCAGGGTCCCTGCGAGCAGGCAGGTAGGCTGGCAGCCCAGGACAGAGCCTGGGACAGAGCCCGGGACAGAGGCCCTGGGGCAGGCCAGCATGCTGATGTGAATTCAACTCTCCACATGAAGCCTGGAGGCTGCAGGGGCCTGGAGAGGGAGGCCCAAACCCGATGCACTGCGTGGCTGTGCCTAAGGTCCTGACCAGAAAGCGCAGCACTGAGAGCGGCCAGTGCCAGCCGCACGGGGCAGGCACAGGGGTCCCCGTGGGGAGCCAAGGGGTGCACCCGGAGCTGAAGGGCTAGATGTGTTCTGAGGCTCCCAGGCTACAGGGTCTTGGCCTTGCCAGCAGAGGCCACTGTTGTGAAGCTGAGTTGAGAGGGTCACAGCCACTGTGGCAGCCACAGGGACATGTTCTTCAACCCACAGAGACACTAGGAAAGCCACATAGGAACCCCAGCCCCCACATGCAATGGAGCCTTGTGAGAAGCCCAGGGCAGGCAGTGGGACATAAACACACAGCAGGGCAGGACAGGTACACAGGGGCAGGGCGGGTACACAGGGGCAGGGCGGGTACACAGGGGCAGGACGGGTACACAGGGGCAGGACGGGTACACAGGGGCAGGATGGGTACACAGGGGCAGGACAGGTACACAGGGGCAGGGTGGGTACACAGGGGCAGGGCGGGTACACAGGGGCAGGACAGGTATACTGGGGCAGGGCGGGCACACGGGCAGGACGGGTACACAGGGGCAGGGTGGGTACACAGGGGCAGGACGGGTACACAGGGGCAGGACAGGTACACAGGAGCAGGGCGGGTACACAGGGGCAGGGCGGGTACACGGGCAGGACGGGTACACAGGGGCAGGACGGGTACACGGGCAGGACGGGTACACAGGGGCAGGACAGGTACACAGGGGCAGGACAGGTACACGGGCAGGGCGGGTACACGGGCAGGACAGGTACACAGGGGCAGGGCGGGTACACAGGGGCAGGACAGGTACACAGGGGCAGGACGGGTACACAGGGGCAGG